GTGGACATTTTCATTGTTTTTCTTTTTTGTTTTTTATTTTATTTTCGTTTTTTTTTCTATTTATGTATTCATTTTTTTATGATGGATAACGCCAATCTTTCCGCTTATACAAATGCTACTTTTTTAATTTTGGTCCTCACGTAACTATCCTAGTTACAGTTTATGCAGTTATCAAAATTTTCGAGCGTAATTTTTTTCATCCAAGGGATCTAGGGATTCTTGATCTAATTACTGGACATTTGAAATCAATATTTTTCCTGTCTACAAACGTTTAATATCTTCTGGTTACTCTCTTTTACGATTATTATATGGATTTATAAAGATGAACTGGAACTTTCAAATACCATATTTGAAAAGATTAAGGTTTCCTTTTGATTATTGAGACCTTACTTGCGCCAGCAAAAGTTAGTTTGTTAATTTGTTGTGTGAGAATGTTATTTGATCACAGGTAAATCATTTTTCTTTCTTAGCTGGCTTGGGAATCAACTTTTTTGAATAAATTTTTATTTGGAAATTGACAGTTTAGTTCGAAGTCTGTTTCGCTTTTTGAAACGATATCTTGAATCACAGAAATGTTTTATAAAAACGACCTGCGAGCGATTTGAAGCAATTCTTTATATCTTCTCAAGTAATTGCTGAATGGAGTATCGTTGAAAAAATCTTCTGAAAAAAAAAAAAAATCTGCTGCGTAAGGAAAAGGATTTGCAGTAGTGATGTGTCAAAGGTTAATGTTTATAAGAGATTGGTGTTTTTTTTCCAAACGGATTGGTTTTTCCATTGTTGTTTTTCTCCTTACTAACTTCTACGCTTGAATAAGCTTATTTTGTATATTAAGCTAATTCACTGGTATTTTTTAATTGGGAAACCATCTAGTAATTTCAAAACCGACCTATTTCTACATTAAGTTTTTTTAAAACTTCAAGTTTCCTATATTTTTTATGAGTGCGATCGAGTTTCTAAGTATTCGGATTATGCTACTTGAAGATGCTTTTGTTTTATATTATTTTCAAATGGTGGTTAGGCTGTTTGAGTATTCTTTCGAGATGGTTTCTGTTTTTGGGTGTTTGATCGGCTGCTCTGGGTGAAGAATGGAGGGAAAATGGTCTGAATCTTTTACTGTTCAAAACATTATATCGTTTCGGAATTGTGCTAAGTGCTGCATTTTCAGGAAAAGAGTAATCTTGTTTTGAAAATTTTGTTGAGTTCTGTGATTTATTATTACGTGTACAAATATAACTGTAATTCTCGACTTTTTATTTTAACTACTCCCAGCCGGGTTCTATTTTCTGATTTTCAGTAGGTGATTTTCAGTAACTTATTGATAATCCACTGCAAGAGAAGGAAGGAGGGCGCTGTAAAGAAGTGACTATATCATTTTCTATTTATTTTTTCCTTCTCTGCTCTGGTTTTTTATGTGCTTACTTTGTAGTTCGAGGCGTGGGGGGTGAAGAAAAAATGTTGAGGAGATTGGTATTCTAATAAGCATTTGCTTCATTGCTTATATGGAGGTCTTTTTCGGTGTTGAGAAATTTTTTCAAGACGCGTGTTTTTATGTGCCTTATCTGCAGCATCACACTAAACGGGATTTGACGTCTCCATTATCCGTTACTGTTTCTGAAGGTTTTGATAATCAAAATCGAGTAGCGAGTTTTTCTCCCCCTGGCAAGAAGTTTCGTCTTCCAACTTCTGGAAGTTCTTTGTCTAACGGATTCGCTTACCCTGTAAATGGCGTCCGTCGAATTGTATCGGTAGGTTTTGAGTTGTAGCTTTTTTAATTCTTTGGAGTGAGCAGTAAATTTATAATATAAAGCGGGTGTGTAGATTAGTCTTTGTCTGTTTTTGCCGGCTTATTTGCTGTTGGCGAGGGACAGCTTTTTAATTTATTATGCTTAATTTTTTAGAAACCTTGTTCTGTTAGAATTTACTTGCAAAAGCTAAGATACATTCAGTTTCTGCTTTTCATCTCTAGTAATTTTAGTAATTTCGTTTCGTTATTGTTCTTTATTATACACAAAACAAGTAAGGGAATTTATTCGTTATTTTTTTTTTAACTCTTTGGTTTCAGACGTCCCCGGGGAATTTCTCTTTGAAAACCAAAAATCATACGCATAATGAAAATATTGTGCATTCTCGTCATCGCGGTTCTACCGTGTCACCGGTGCTAAACCGGTCAAAACAAGATAACAAACATCGATAACATACAGTTGTTTGATTCGCTCGTTTTTAATCCACATCAGGGATGGTCGAGAAGGGGAACCGAGGGCTACATTTTTTACAGGTTCGTTTATAGAGATCGAAGTAATGGACGTGATGTATAACTTACTTTTGTTGCGTGCTTTTCTTTAGTGTTCGAGAGGTTCTTGTTTTACCATGTCTGTATTTGTTTCTTGAAATATATAACATTTTGAATTTTCTTCTAGTCTTTCATTGGTTTTTATTCGTCGTTTTAAACATTATTGCTGTTTTGATCTCAACATTTAGCTTCTATTTGGGTTTCCGTATGATTTTTTCAAGGAATGTTGTGTACACAAGTCATTTAGATTGAGGTATTCGTTCTTTTTTCTTTATTGTTTTTGAGGATGATTGCTTGTGTGTTTATGGGAATTTTTTCTTCTTAATAGTTGTTATCAAATTTTTTCTGTGGTTTTTGCTGTGACATCTTGTTTTTTTTTTT